AGGGCTGGGAAAACCAAGCTACTGGCCCCAGCCCCAGGGCTGGTCCTTTCACACACACACCCCTCCCACCTTGCACTGTGCTATTTTTTGCCCTCCCTTTCCCTTGCTCTTCCCCCCATCTCAACCAGCCAACCCTCTCAACCCCCATCCCACAAGCTGCTCGGGGTGCAGATGCTTTTATCAGCATTTGCCGCTGTGGGAGCCAAGCAAGTTGGGAGGGATTCATACTTTCATGGATTGTTAGGGGCTTGGAGGGACCTCAGAAGATCACCGGGTCCAGCCCCCTGCACTAGGCAGGAAAGACAGGTGACCCCAGGAAGGTGACCGTCCAGTCTTCTCTTGAAGATTTCCAGGGTAGGTGACTACACCACCTCTGGAGGGAGCTTATTCCAGAGTCTGGACACCCTAACTGCATAGAAATGTTCCTAATGTTCAGCCTGACATGGTCTTCCAGGAGTTTCTGGCCATTACTCCTGGTTTTGTCCAAGAGTGCCCTGGTGAACAGTTGTTCACTGAGCCCTTGATGTGCTCTCCTAATGTAGTGGTAAGCTGCTACCAAGTCCCCTCTCAGCCTTCTCTTTTTTAGGCTGAAGGGTCCCAAGTCCCTTAGCCTTCCTCATATGGCTTGCCATGCAAGTCTCTGATCATATGGGTGGCTCTTCTCTGGACTCTCTCAAGCTTTACTACATCCTTGTTAAAGTGCAGTGCCCAGAACTGGACGCAGTACTCCAGTTGCAGTCTCACCAATGCTGAGTAAAGTGGAAGAATCATTTCCTTGGTTTTGCTTGAGAAGCATTGATTGATCCATGCCAGAGTATTATTTGCCCTGGTGTCTACAGCATTGCACTGATGGCTCATATTCTTACTGTGGTCTATTATTACTCATAGGTCCCTTTCATTCATGGTGCTCATCAGCTTGGTACTGCCAAGCCTGGAGGTCTGTTAGGGATTGTCCATCCCCAGGTGGAGCACTTTACATTTCTTGATGTTCAACTTATCTGGCTTTGATCCGCCCAACTTGCAAGGCAGTCTAGCTCCGCCTGTATCTGCAGTCTATCTTCAAGCATAACCATGCTTCCCCATAACTTGGTGTTGTCCATGAACTTGGCCAGTGAGCTGTTCACCCCCACATCCAAATCACTGATAAAGATGTTGAATAGCACTGAACCAAGCATCGACCCCTGAGGGACACCACTGGCTGCCTCTCACCAGGATGACACAGATCCATTCATTAAAACTCTCTGGGTCCTACCCCACAGCCAGCTTCCTACCCACCTAACTGTCAGGCAGTTAAGCCTGCAATCCTCCAATTTTCTCATCAGCACATCATAGGATACAAAATCAAAGGCCTTTTGGAAGTCTAGGTATACAATGTCAACTTCCTCTCTCTTATCCAGGTGGCAAGTTAAGTGGTTGTAGAAGGGGTATAGGCAAGTAAGGTAAGGACAGGAGGGATGGGGGTGTAGGTTCGCTGGGTGGGGGGAGCTCACCCTACCCAGGGGTCGCATTGGCCCCACGCACCCCACCTGTGGTTCACACTGCCCCCACACCGCTCATGGGTCACGCCTCCCCTCCATCCCCCAGCAGATCTCCAGCATCCCTGCTAGTCCTCTTCATTCTGATTTAGCTGATATCACACAGCTATTTTGAATCGATTTAGCCTCCCCTTAACACCTCTGAATGTCTATATTTAGCCTTAAGGGAGAACTTGACCAATAAGTTCAATTCAACACAAGTAATACATTCTTTATATACTCGATCAGTTTTAAATGGAAATATGCTTTGATAAACATTTTTCTTTTTTATCTGGTATATTTAAATAGAAGTTTACCTTACTAATAACATGTTTCCTGCATTCTAATCAGAATTCAGTATTCATTCAATACCAAACCAACATAAATGATTATAAAACTGGTAAATAAGAAGTGTTAGCTGACATTTTCTAACGTAATAAAATATAAAAAAATTAAAAATCTCAGTAAATGCATGTTAAGCTACATGATTGCATGGGCATGGCATAGCTTACCCACCTGTCAGATAAACCAAAATACCAAATTTGGTGTAAAGTTTATATTTATCTGCAAAATATAGCTGAATAGGTAACAGTCACAAAAATCAACCTTTCATTCAGAAATTAAACAGAAAACTTAAACCACAAACACAAAACAAGATTACAATTACCAACTAAAATCAAGGTTTCCTGTTTCAAATCTTGAAAAAAATATGAGATTTAAATATTGTTGATTTAAATCAATTCACAACATAGGAGATAGTCTGCAACTTCCTTTTATACTACCACAGTCTCCATAGAGACTTCCATTTAAAAAAATCATCTCTCAGCAGTTTCCACCACCATATGCATAACCCTCCATTTTCAAAGAAGACAAAAACACTACTAAGATTAAACAGACAGCTCTACCATTTATTTAAATAAAAGTCACTGCCTCAATTTCAAGGCAGAAGAAATAATATAAATTAAAGTTAAATTGGACCACAAATTATTTGGAAAAAGCAGTCTTCATTTTTCTGTCTTCTACAGTATCAAGTACATTATCAGAATTTCATAGATAAGATCTCTTCTGTATTTTGATAGCGTTGGAGTGATTTTGTAATTGTGATGGTGCAAGAATTGTGCAAAGAGGCAAGGATTTTGCAGGGGATATAATTATTGAATCAACTGCATGGTTGGGATAAAGTTAGATAAGCTTTTGAATGCAAGACAGTCTTCATCAGCCTCTGATACTTTAGGTCCCTGATAAAAACCATGCAGCTGGTCCAATAAAGATATCACCTGCAAAAATCTTTGCCTCACAATTAGATAAGAAATGGATGTTGAGAGTAAAAGCAGAACTTAAGTAAGTTGCATGTGGGTGTGTTTCCATATAAGAATATGGGTCCTAGTCAAAAAATATTCCATTTCAGTATATGGCACTCTCTAGAAAGACATGTACACCTCAGCACACATCCAAATCTTTACAAAATTCTCTACAATATGATTCAGGCTATAGAGTGGACCACAGAGGACCTTGCTCTCCAGAGAAACAAAAGAGGAAGACTATTTTTGTCATATATTTATAATGAATATTAAACACATCTAGAGTGGTAAGTGAAAACCAAAAAAAGGACAGTAATGGAAATAATACTTTTTTTGTTTAAATCTAGGCCTGTGAGAAACGGAAGCATTCCATTTCAACCAGCATTTCAACGTTTCAACAGAACAGTGTTTTTTTTACTTTTGTTTCACGTCGAAACGGCTGTTCCGTTTCGTTCCGTCAAAACATTTTGTCATTTTGACCCTGTTTTGACATTTCACCCACAGGATATAATGGGGAAGGTCAAAACAGGCTATAACTTTGTCATTTCTGGCCTGATATGGATAAAACTTGCAGGAATGGTAGCCCCTTCTGAGGGCATGATGCATGACACCCTAGTTGTGAAGTAGTTTTTCCTAATGTTGAGCCTGAAACGATCTTCCAGGAGTTTGTGACCAGTACTCCTAGTTTTCCCCAAGGGTGCCCTGGTGAACTGTTGCTCACCGAGCCCTATATGTACACTTCTGCCGTAGCGGTAAGCTGCTACCAAGTCCCCTCTCAGCCTTCTCTTTTTCAGGCTGAAGAGTCCCAGGTCCCTCAGCCTTTCCTCGTATGGCTTGCCGTGCAAGTCTCCGATCATATGGGTGGCCCTTCTCTGGGCTTCCTTGAGCTTTATTGCGTCCTTGTTGAAGTGCAGTGCCCAGTACTGGACACAGCGCTCCAGCTGTGGTCTCACCAATGCCAAGTCGAGTGGGAGAATCACTTCTTTGGTTTTGCTGGAGATGCATCGATTGCTGCAT